TTGATGATATTTAGATACATTTGAGCATAAAGAAAAAAAAAAGATAATAAAAGTTCAAGTTTGATGTCAATAAAAGTGGAATCTCTTTCAAAGCAAATAAGGAGTAAATACAAGAAAATAAGCCAAAAAAAAGTGACAACCAAGGAGCTGGGAATTGAACCCAAGTCGTTGGGTAGGAAGCAACCACAGCCAACCAAAGAGCTAGTCCTCGTTGCTGTGAACAAAATCAGCTGGCAATTAATACATTCCTTTTGAAACGCAGCAAAGAAAAGAAGAACAAAAGTCGAAGCCGAGAATCGGTCCCATGACCACAGATCTTTCCCCTAAGACGCTGGTCCGCTGAGCTGCTACATACTATTGGAAATTTACTGCGCTTTGTTGTACATAAACTATATGCTCCGTAAATTCCAGCAATTAATCATTAATCATCTTATCATTATATTGCCTTAATCCATCTCCCTCCACACATAATCTCGAGCCAACTTCTCTCTACAACTCCCAGAATCATTTCCTCCTCCTTCTCTCTTCATTCTTCACCTCCAAATCATCAACCAATCTTCAACATCAATTAATCACTTTCTCATTCAAGATTAAGTCAAGATTAGCACCAAGCTCTAAGGATTGTCATCTATCACAAGTTTGATCTTCCTTATCTCATTAAATCTTGTACTTCAATCATGAATTCATCTATTTCTATGCTTCCAAACATGTATAGCTAAATAAATTTGGGGCTAGAAATTGGTTAATTAATTGTTCTTATCATGTTTTAATTTGTATTGAGTTTAATTGTTAAGTTTGTTCTATTTAGATTGTTGTGTCCAGAAAATTAATTAAGTTATGTTTGTGATATATATTATGAGTACTCAATCCTAAACATATTGTTTGTTAAATACACAAATGAACACTTTCTGAACACACCGTTAAACTTCTTTTACCTTGTCCCGGATTGAAGTTTTACGGGGGAATTTAATTATTTAATTATATTATTTACACCACGGGGTTGGGTAAATAATATAGTTAATAATTAAGGTTGTCGTTGCACTTAAACAACTAGTCTCGTTTTGGCCATCACTGGGAAATGTTGACTAGTTACTTATTTTAGATGACTTGTGTTGGGTCTTAAATTATTTATCTACAACTTCTCACAATCTATCTAAGAATAAAATTAGCAATTATGTCTCTCAATTAAACATTGAACAATTAGTTACCAATTTCTACCCCTACTTGCTATTGGTTGAAATTTGTGTTGATAAAAATCTCTTATCTCAATCACTTTTATTTTGTTACTTTTCCAAGCAACCAAAAAATCAAAAGAAACGCATTCCTAACTTTAATCCTTAGTTTGTGCTTAATTATTTTATTTCTCGCTTCTCTGTGGTTCGACACCCTACTTCCTTGGGTAAAAAAATAGTTGTGTGCCCATTATATGCTACACACCAGCTATGTTTCTAAAAATTAAAAGTTTTTCAAGTTTTTTTAAATCCTTGCTAGGATCCATTTGTAAAGGATCGAGTTCACTGGTCATTCAAGCATGGACTAATAACATGTCACTATTCTAGGTTAAATGTTCTCTGGTAGTCATTTGTGCTAAAACCAAATAATATATATAGACAACATCACTATGACACCCATTTCATATAATACATTGATTATATATTAAAGGTCCAGGAGGCTGATCCGGCATGCCGGCATGGTGTATGCATGACAGAGGCGCTTCACCCTCTTTTGGGATTAGTTTTATTAGGAGACTTAGGTAGTGTTTGCACTTGCTTAATTTAAGCACTTTTGGGCTTTTGGCTTTGAAAAAGCCAAAAATGGTGTTTGCAAAAGAAAACTTTTGCTTAAATTAAGTACTTTTAAGCCAAAAGTTGGAAGCTAGGGTAGAGGTGCTTTTATCTGCTTTTTTGGGTTTTATGTAATTAATTGGAACTTTAAGGTTAATCATACTCTAAGGCATTAATTTATTCCATACCTACCCTCTTGTCGGTGTTCCCTGACCTCTCGGTCATCTTCCCCAAAGAAGCCCACATCATCTTCCTCTCACAATTTTATCTATGTGAGCCAGTCGAGTAGCATTGGGTGGGATGTCGGAAATGCCATCATGCTCCTCCTCCTTTTCTTCACCTTGGATTCGTGCTGGAATGTGAAACCCAGAGAAATCTCCATCTCCTGTGGAGAATCCTAAACCGGAGAGCGACGATGATGGATGGTGATAGATGGGAAGCAATGGTCATTGGTGGTGGTAGTGCTGGTTTGGGTCAATTCCGGCAGACGACGAGTCCATCCAAGCACGAATCGAAGGTGAGCAACTGGACTGAAGGGGTCCCCTCTGAGAAGAAGAAGAGAAATAGTGACTCTGCCCACCGAGCAGCAGCTGTTGAAACAAAGGCTGGGGCGTATTGAACAAGAACCCTCCTATTGCCGACGAGGCGGCTGAAGGGCAGGGTGTTGCTTCTCTGGCAGAGTTCCAAACACGAAAACTTTGTATTATTGTACAAAGGGTATTTTTGTATTTTGATAATATATTACATCAAAATCACTTTTATACCAAACACTCCAACTTTTACATTTTAACTAAAATCACTTCTATTCCCAAACACTACCTACTTTTAATATAAATCACTTTTCCAATAATCTCTTAAAAAAATCACTTTTAAAAAGCACAAGCAATCGCAAACACTCCCTTAGTTAATATGCGGTTGGAGTCCTAATATTCGGCGATGGTTCTATGCATTGCAGGGCTGCAATTCCAAGACAAAAAGAGGACCATGCTGTCAAATGGAATTGGTCTACCATCAGTTAGCCCGTTTAGCTTCTATTTCCCCGCATGGATTGATTGTTCCTTCTCTTTTTTTTTGCTTATCAAGTACCTCAATCCTATTTACATCCTCATCTACAAGGTGAGGGTACTAATATGTCCCAGTATTTGTAGCTTATTTAGTTATTTATATTCTATAGACGACTATAGTGGACTTAGTTTGAATCTTAGACATAACTGATACAATAACATTTGAAACACAAGCCATTAAATTAGATGCTCTTAAGCCAAAAATGATTTTGGAAAATGTTTTAAAACACAGACTTACATAATTGTACTGCTAACGAAATAATTTGACTCTTCACAGTTTAATTTCTTGACCTGCATTGTTGTTAGTTATAGAGTTATACATTTTTTTTATCACACATAATGGAAAAATAGACACCACCCTCCAAAAATTATTACACTCATGAAAATGTTAACTGGTATCTAATACAATACCGTTCAGTCATACACACGAAGTACCTGATGCAATCATGCAACTTTAAAAAAATTGTAAAATCTTCATAGGGTGAAACACATGGAAATCACACATGAATCAGCAAGATTAAGGGGGTGTTTGGAACTGATTCTGCTTATGCTTCTTTTTTTAAAGCAGAGGCAGAATCAGAATCAATTTTCAAAAGCTGGTACCCCCAGCTTCTAAAACAAACTGATTCTGGGAGTAAATTATTAGAGCACCAGAAGCGCATCTCGAATTTCACCCAAACACTCTAGCTTTTGCTTCTGCTCCCTGAAGGAGCAGAATCAGTTTTGAGAATCAGATCCAAACACCCCTAATTCTTGCTTATAGACTAAATGGAACAAATGGCCTCTCGGCCTAACCTCATTCCCAATAAGACTACATAGAGACATACATCATTCCAAAATAAGGTTTATCCCTTAAACTTTACATCTTGAAAATAGATTTATGCTCCTTACACTAATACACTTTTGAGACCTCTGCTTTTTGTGAGCCATTTCCCGCATCTAGTCATTTGCAATTTGTTGATCGAAAAAACTTATTGCTATTTCCTTTTAGCAAGCATTGCAATTATATTAACGTTCATAGTCCTAAGACTACTGATTCAAAGCAAGGACTGCCACCGAATCGGATTTACAAAATGATATCATAAATTAAAACTCTACTAATCCCTTCGATCGAGTAAATAAGAAGTGCCACCACAAAAGGAAGCTTGAAGAACACTTAAGTGTCTACCTTCTACAGAAATCTTTCATACACTACAGTCTATACCTAATAATCGTAAAGTTTAACTTTGAAGGTAGACTTGACTGCCAAAAGATTGAAATTTATTATAGAGAGCCCAAGTGAATGGTACCTACACTGTGTTCAATGATAATTCGACGACAAATAACTCTTGAACTTCCTGAAAAACAAACTGTGACTACAAGTAAAAGGAACAATCCACACGATCAGAATTATATTAAAGAGTATAATTTTTTATTATTAATACTAACTTATATATTTGGAAGAAATAACGTTATAATCCATCATAAAAAACCAAACCAGGCCAGGTAGTTTAGATTAGAATTGATGGAGTATATTAAAACCACAAAAATGGAAAAAAATAAAGTGAATAAAGCAAGTCTTATTAGGAACATGAAACTAGGGTATACATAACAAGGGTTGATACACATCATAACAAATTTAGAGCCCTTCATAGATGCGAATTAGATTATGATTTTTTTTAAACAATCAAACTGATGCAAATTTAAAAAGCGCTAAAATATATTATATTCTTAAGGATACCAATATACTCTGCCAAATCAGGACTTGCAGATAAAAATATATACCCCATAAATCGGTAAATTGGAAAAATAAAAGAATTAACCAATTAGTTGGCTGGAATGCAAAAAGCACAGGAACCTGAGTGGTAACCGGTTTGCTTAACATTGTAGCTGTTAGGGAGGAAAGTGGGTTTTGTCTTTTAGTGGTAACCAGTTTGCTTAACATTGCAGCTGTTAGGGAGGAAAGTGGGTTTTGTCTTTTGGGTCACCCGTGCTTCCGATGTAATCATTGGGTGCGCGAATTCATTGGAAGTTAAAAAGACGCAGGCACGGATGGAAAGAAATACACAGAGATGTAAGAGTTATTGCCTATTTGTACATGTGTGCCCCCAAGTGATAGTGTTTCTTATGCAATATATAAATGGAACAAAAGAAAAAAGTGAAGAAGAAGATACCTGCATAATTGATGTTAATCAGAAACTTGATAACTATAACATTTATCATAATAACATGTTTAACAATTAGAGGTAGGTTAAATCTAGAAAGTTAACTTTTTTTTAGTAAGAGGACCTAGCAGTAGGAGTAACAATGGAGATCCGTGATACATAGAGCCAAAATAAGGCGACATTGAAGACTGCCTCTTTGCTTTTGGGCCAGATGTACTTGATGACTTCAAACACACGTTCTACTACTGCACTTCGTGTTGCTTGTTCCTCTTGACTCGGCGATAGGAAATCACAAAAATCTGTTATCTCTTCAATCTTGCAGACAACAATCTGAGAACCAAGCTTTATTTGAGACACCAAAAACATGATTATTCAACCAAGTAGAAAATTTTCCAATGATTATTCACAAGGGAACATAAAAACAAAAAAAAAACATCAATGCCCATTACCACAAGAAGTGAGCCTCAATGTTACTACGTATGATTAAAGGAGTGTTTTTCTGTACATTCAGCTAAGCAGAGAAAAGGACAGTACCTTTGTGGAGCTGAAGCATAGGATTCCTGAGACGATAGGTGGTGCTAAACCATTTTCCTTCAATTTCCCTAGTCGATTCCTTAACCGGCACTGGTAGAGAAGCTAGATGTGGCGGAAAGAACAAATTCCGCTTCACCTCATCGACCTCTTCGTCGACATCGGGCAAAAAATAATCATGCGGGGCGGTTTCCGAAAAGGGGAATAAGGTTGATCTTAGAGAACCTTCGTTGCCAGAAATGGTGTATGCTTGAAGTTTGTCTGGAAGAAACGGTGATACAGATGGGGCGGTTGATTGCTCCCCTAACATATCCTCCGCTACTACACAAAATAAAATCATGTTTTAAACAATATTGCATACAAATACAGAAGACGCCTAAATTTAGGCGGAGGTGCGAGATTTATGAGCAGCGGCTTCGCTTTCTTCCGTCTCCCTTCCATTTGCACAGAACCCAGACGGAAAGATGTTTTAATTAACAGAAGCCTTAGGGACATAACAGAGGAATGAACGGAAGCTTAGGGATAGGACGGACGAAATTCTAATGGTACAACAACTTCAGCAGAATTTACAACCTAATAATACTATAGAGTTACACCAACAAAAATTTCATTTCCAAAAGGGCATAACCCTCATTGGCCATTATAATATTTTAGATAATGATATTGTATTACAAATTTCAATTCATTGAAAAGGGTTAAAAAATACAAATAAATTTTTACTCTTGTTCTCTCCTACTCGGACGCATATCCATTTCATTTGTAAATCTTGTCCTTGGAGGCCTACCGGTTTGACTGAGTGGAGCACTTTGAGGTGGTATCAATAAATATCCGGTATTAGGCATCACACTTACGTCATACTATACATAGGCATAATATATGTAGCATACGTACGGATGTACGCACCTAATTTATACACTTCCATGGCTCCTTATTAGAAACTTCCATGTTAGATTAAAATCCCTATAGTTCTCAATCTCCTTTCAAGATAACTATTACTCTTGAATGCGCTTTCATATGAATAAATTGATTTCCAAAGGAGAGATCAGAAAGATCAATATTAGCTATGTTTCAGAAAATCCAAATCTTATAGTCACCGGTATGAAAGAATTTATTTATACCAACTCTATAGCCAAACCATTAGTTTTATTAGCAGAAATAATAGGCTCAATAACAACAACTAAATTAGTTCTGCACTGTCTAATAAGATCACGTAACCTTGGACAGGACGAAGCAAGGCCACGTACATTCCAAAGAAGACAATTCATCATAAACATTGAGAAAAAGCTTGAGAGAGCTTCTTAGCAGCAGCTCTTGTAATTCTAGGGGAAATAGGACTCTGTTGTGCTGGATATTTTTTCTTTCTCCTGGTAACTGTGATCAAACCATCAGAATCAATCTTATTTCTCAGTCCAGCTAATAAATCCTCAATGGATTCGGAGTTGGGATGTCTAGTTTTATTTATTGCCTTGGCTACCTTTTTAGATATAACAGACTGACTTTCTTTCCATTTTTGGATATTTTCTAGAAAACAGAAGTCTCCATCTAAGGAGTAGCCTTTTGCGCATAATGCTTGATCATAGGTATTTCTCTTATTAAGTTTCAGAAGGTTGTAATCATGCATCCAAGACTTGCTCATTTATTGGTAGCTTAGAATTCAATTAAATTCCTTGCAGAATATCATCATCCATTTTATGATATTTCTCTTGTGTTGCAGATACAATACCATCAGGATTTTGTAATGGTGGGGGTTGTTCAGTGAAGATTTCCTCAATGTCTAAGTCAAAAGCATCAAGCTCACAAATGGGCCTCTTAGAAGGAGATGCAATCCAATAATCGATCATCTTATCTTTCCCTTAATCTGTATTGATCACATAAGTAGCTCTTGTATTCCCATTTGTAATAGTTAATAACTTAGGTTGATGATTAGGAAGATTTGCCTTAGGTACCCATTTTTCAGTTTTGGTCTGAAACTTCTCTATGGCTTTGGTGCCTAAAGCTTTATTCTCAGTAGCATTAATCCCAGGTAATTTTTCCTTCTCTGGAGCCTGATACATATCTTGGGCCTTAGCCTTATCCAGAGTCTTACTTTTCATAGGACAACCTCAACACACACCCCTGCAATATAAAAAAGTGATCGCCTATCATGGAGATGAATGGGCAGGCCTTCAAGGGTTAACCAAATTGGAAATATAGGAGCTTCCACATTTGGCTGAAATTCGGGTGTCCATTTGGTAACACGCATCGTGCTACCAAAGATATCCCAAACCTACCTATTCCAACATCTAATATAGTCCTCTTCCACCTCAAACCGCGCGAATAAGCAATTGTTTACGATCCAATAACCCTAGGTGATAGGCACCTTTAAAACCGACCAGATCAAAAGCCTTATGAAGGGATGTCATAGACGGCCGATCGTTGAAAAGATATCCAACAAGTGACAATTTGTGCTTGGCAGCCAAGATCTATATTTCTTCTTCAGGGAAGGAGATGGCTGGCATTGCTTTGTATCTTCCAAAGTTTTTTTTTCAATAGTGGTGGATCGGTATTTGCCACAACTGAAGCAAATGTTTTGCTAACCCAAGCCCGTCCAAACGGTGGTGGCGGCACCGCCGTAATCTTCTCCGTCATACAGTTTGGCGTTCAAAGAAATTGCCAGAATGTATAAGAGGTAAAATCATTTTTGTTTTAACAAATATGCTTAGTAGCCCCAGAGTCTACCACCCACTCATTAACATCATTAGTTTTACAACTTTGAGCAACAACCGCAATAAAATCATCACCACTACAAACCAATTTGAAACTGGATTTTAGTGGGTTCTTGTTTTTCATAGTTGTAATTTTACCACAAAATAAATGAATAACATTTTTCTTAAAAAGTGATGTTAAACTATGGTTTATTGTAAGTAGGAATGTAAAGAGAGTAAGCATTCACTACAAGAAAGTTTGTCTATAAAGAGCGGAAATACCATGGTTAAAAGTTCAGATCCCATCATAAAAGACATTCTATGATGGGAAGTATCCTGTCATGACTAGGGGTGGACTCGGGCCGGGTGGCCCGCCCTGGAACCGGCCCGGCCTGGTCAATGTTTGAACCGGCCCGAACCGCCGGCCTGGCCGGCGACTGGTCCGGGTAGGCCCGACCCGCCGGGGTTCCGGGCCGGACTCGGGCCTTTCAAAAGGTGAACCGGCCCGGCTGGTTCAGGCTCGGTCCGGGCCAATTTTTTTCTTTTATTTTTTTGATTTTTTTTTAGGTTTTTGGGTTGGGCTAGGTATTTTGGGTCATTTGTGGTGGTTTGGGGTGGTTTGGGGGTGAGGGGAGAGGGTTGGGGGTTAATTAGTAAAAGCCAAAAAAAAAAATTGAACCGAGGCTCGGCCCGGCCCGGACCCGGGGGTTACCCGGGCCAGTTCCGGGACTCCCCTTTCATGAACCGAGGCCCGGCCTGGCCCAGGCCCGAACCGGGCCCGAACCGGCCCGAGTCCACCCCTAATCATGACCTCTCATTACAGCTTCCGCGGTTAAAAGTTTTTAGTGAGGGGAAATGAATCTAGTCATTAATAAGCCTATAGTGAGGGTAAAAGTACCATTATTAAAAACAACTTTCATCTCCAATAAAATGTAATTATGATAATAGCTTCAACTTTCATTCAAATTCTCTCATGATATTATAACTTCAAAACTCCTATAATGAATATAATATGTATTCAAATTCTCTCATGATAATTATAATTCATAAAAGTTGGAGATAATAGCTTCAAAACTCACAACTTTTATGATGTTTCATAAACGAATGTAAATAGCAGAACGATAGCAGAATAATGCTCCTATCCACTAAGCCACTAACGCATAATTCTAGGAGCTTAGTAACCAACTAAGACCAAGTCTTTTATTTACAAAATGAGAAGCTAAAACTAAAAAATAAATATGTAATCCACGCAAGCATTCTGTCAGCAACTAGATTACTCCAAAAATCCTCTCCCTTAATCTAGTTGTCAGGATTTACTTTCATTACTCCAAGCTTAGCTCTTAACTCAAGAAAACTTATTCTTCCAAGCGCCTTGGTTAGGTTAGAATGTCAGCCAACTGATCATTTGTTCCCACATGATTAACTTCCACAAAACCATTTTGAATGCATTCACTAATGAAATGAAACCAGATGTCAATAGGCTTACTTTAATCATGATGGACATGATTTTTGCATAACCCGATGGCTGATTTGTTATCCAACAGTAGCTGCACGCCTGCACCTTCTTTGGCTTACAGTTTGTAAGATCACCATATAAATGACTTAGCCAAACACCTTGACAAGTTAGCGGTAGTCAGGGCCGTCTAATGAATTTGGAGGCCCCAGTTCCAAATGGTCAATTTTGGCTCCCGAAAACAAGAACAATACAAGGAGACTAGACAGTTTAATGAAACATAAGTTTTTTGATGTTTAAAGTACATAAGTTAGAGAATCTAAAAATCATATACCTTTTGAAATTTCGAATAATACATAACATATAGAAAAATCAACCTATAACAAATACGGAGTACTACATTATAAAATTTTGAAGGCCCCCTACAAGAGTGGTCCCGGTGTCAAGCACCTGTTGCACCTCCTAAAAGACGACCTTGGCTGCAGTAGGGCACTAGTGTTGAATTGGGCCCCTATTTCTACACTAGAGAAATATGGAAATGGATCTCAAAATGGATGAATGAATTGAAGCTTTTCATTGAAGAAGTTTACAAAGGATAGGGAACTTTAGTGTAAAACTTCCGTAGGATATGCATGTTTATTTGTTATAGTTTTCTTTTTTTGCTGATTTAAACCATGTAGGTTCCTTAGGCCAATTGTACTGAAACTGCTATGGGCAGTAGCAAAGAGGCCTCACCGCCCTTGCTTCGACCCAGTTATATACCTTTTGATGTGTCCCTAATTCCTCCAAACCTGCTTACCTGCCTATGATTGAATGGAGACTTATTCAATAGCTAGGTCCTCCCTCCTTCCCTGGCCTACAGAATGGGTTCTGTGCTGCTATTAATTAAGAACTATCCCAAGTTCCTCTTTTCAGATAATTCATTACTTATAATCAGATTTACTTATGCTATTCCTAAGATAAGTAAAAACTCTATCCTATAGCACCTCAGTTTACTAGAAGTCTAGAAATTTATGACATACTAAGTGGAGTAAGCATAATGAGCATAGAGTAGGGTTCATATATTTGATTGTGACTGGACAAGATTAATTGCTACTACCTTTGTCCCATTGAACTCTTCCCATGGTAAAATGACACGATTATTTGAACAATAATTAAATAAGGTCGTTTGAGTACATATTGAGAAATAATTTTATTAAGTACTACGTATATAATATAATGAGGCTAGTGTTGAAAACTGTGATGTTATAAATGTATTATTTTTAATACTTAATGATCAATTCGTCATTTAAGATTGTTAATCGTTTCCT